GATTAGGTGTCTGAGGAGCAGGCACACCCACAGCAGCTACAGCAAACAATTTATATCCTATCACACAGGTCCCTATCACACAGGTCCCTATCACACAGGTCCCTCCTCTGATTCCTCATTGGCTGAGTACTATGGGATGTACAATCTTCCCCCACATCACTTAAGTTAGAAAGCTACCTTCCTCCTTCCTTTTCTGTACTTTAATTTCCTTTTTTTTTTTTTTTTTTTTTTGACAGGCAGAGTGGACAGTGAGAGAGACAGAGAGAAAGGTCTTCCTTTGCCGTTGGTTCACCCTCCAATGGCCGCCGCAGCCAGCGTGCTGCGGCTGGCGCACAGAGCTGATCCGATGGCAGGAGCCAGGTGCTTCTCCTGGTCTCCCATGGGGTGCAGGGCCCAAGGACTTGGGCCATCCTCCACTGCACTCCCTGGCCACAGCAGAGAGCTGGCCTGGAAGAGGGGCAACCGGGACAGAATCTGGCGCCCTGACCAGGATTAGAACCCGGTGTGCCAGCGCCTCAAGGCGGAGGATTAGCCTAGTGAGCCGCGGCGCCGGCCTTAATTTCCTCTTATGAGTTGGCTACTCCATAGTATCCTGTTTGCTAGTGAAGTTTTGCTATATCTGCAAGTCAGCTAACAGTGATTTTCCATTTTGTGCTGAAAATGGACAACTGGACATTTTCTTAAAATAAAAAAAATGGATGGGTGTCAGGACACAGCAAATTAAGCCACTGTTTGAGATGCCCACTTCCCATATTAGAGCACTAGTTCCAGTCCCAGCTACTCTGCATGTCTGATCCAGCTCCCTACTAATTTGCCTGAGAAAGAGCAGATGATGATCCAAGTACCTGAGTTCCTGTTCTCCACATGGGAGACCTGGTGGCAGTTGCTAGCTCCAGGCTTTGTCCTGGTCCAGCCCTGGCTGCCACAGTCATTTAGGGAGTGAATCAGTGGATGAAAGATCTCTCTTTCAAATAAATAAATCTTTAAAAAAATAAAAACCAAGGAAAAGGCCAAAAACCCTAAGATGACTAATAAATTGTATTATAGTCTTTCCTCAGTATCCCCAGGGATTAATTAGGATGCCCTGCAAATGCCAAAATATGTGGATACTCAAATGCCTTACTAAAATGGCATAGGATTTGCACATAACCTATGTACATCTTCTCATATACATTAAATTATTTGCATATCATTTGTAATACTTAATACATGTATTAAATTTTATGGAAGAAGCTGTTATACTAACAAGGAAAGTTGCTAAAGACAAAGAAAAAAAATATTACCTGTCCAGTGCAAAAGCAATTATTCTCTGAGTATTTTCAATGAGAGGTTGGTTGAATATGGAACATACAGATATGGAAATCCAACTGTACTGCTCAAAATGAAAATATGTCTTAGTTGGCAAAGTATAGAATTTATACAGTGAACAAATAAATCACTGGAAAGAAATTACTCCACTTGGAGGACAGTGTTGTGACACAACAGATTAAGTTGCCACTTCAATGCCAGCATCCCATATTGAAGCACTGGTTTGAGTCTCAGCTGCACTATTCCAATCCATCTCCCTGCTAATACACCTGGAAAAGCAACAGAAGATGGCCCAAATGCTTAGTTACCTGCCATCCACATGGGAGACCTGGATGGAGTTCCTGGTTCCTGACTTCAACTTGGCCCAGCCCCAGCCCCTGTGGCAATTTGGACAGCAACCCAGTGAATGGAAGATCTCTTTCTCTTTCTGTCTCTCCCTCTGTGTGTCACTCTGCCTTTCAAATAAATATTAAAAAATCATTTCACTCTGAGTGGTTGAACCATATTTAATGTACATAAAGTCATTATGTTACTGTCCAAAAGACTACAGACAACTTCTGATTATTCACAACTTTCAGTTTTTCTTTTTTTAAAAAAATATTGTATTATTTATCCAAAAGGCAGAGTAAGGGAGACAGAAGGGGAGAAACAGAGATCTTCCATCCTCTGGTTCACTCCCCGAAATGGTCACAAGAGCTGGGGCTGGGTCACACCACAGCCAGGAGTCCAGAACGCCATCCAAGTCTACCACATGGGAGCCAGGGACCCCAAGTATTTGGACCATCTTCATCTGCTTTTCCTGGCACATTAGCAGGGAACTGGATCTGTACAGAGGAGGTCACTCAGAACAAACCAATGGTCACATAGTCTACTCTGCTACCAAAAAAACAACTTTCTTTGCCCTCATCCAAGAGAAGCTGAAAGAAAAGATCTTTTAAGAGAAAGTCACTACAGTCTACTCCCTTTTACCCCAAATCTAAGCAACTGGTAGTTCAACGAACAACAACAAAAATGTTGGCAAAAGTGAGGGAAAGCAGCCAAGTAGATAAGGCCTAAAGTTCAAGCAAGCACGAACATTTGTTCAACTCCCACAAGGTTATAAAAGCCAATGCTGCTGGCACCAGAGGGGAAACTGGGGAGGGGTGTGTGGAACAAGGGAAGGGAGAGGTGGAGAATAGGAAACAGGGATCAGTCTCAGAGATTAGCTGGCATTACTTCAACAAACTGCTATTTTTTAGAGTCCAAATTTAAAAGTAAAGTTCAATTTCTTGCACAGATAACTGATTTACAAATTACATTCAAATGGATGTATAACTTGATCATACTTTTTGTTAATTTCTGAAATCTCTTCATCTTTTTTTCCCTCCAGGCTCACATGAGGAACAGGTTCTTAGAAAGTCAGGTAAAAGCCATTTCATTTACTCCTTTTGTCTAGAGAGAAACAGGCCCACGTCCCACAAACACGCTTCTCTCTGAAAATGATTTTACTATTTTACTTTTACCCTTCTATTCCTGAGACACAGAAAAGAAAAACGGGCTTAAGCTATATTGTAAAAATGTTATTTTTGGACTGTTGTCTGTGCACAGAGTGCCTGTCATATGAATATTTAAAATGGTGTATAGGTTATCTTGGCCAGTAAATATGAACCATCTGTCTTATTAAAGTGGTCAATTAGTTTAAAAAATATTAACTCCAGTGTTCTGGTATAATACAAACGGAATTTACCCACTTAAATGTTACACTTTTTTTTAAGTTTTACTTAAAAATCTAGACTTGGCTAAAAAAAATTTCCTCCACTGGAAATTAAACACTGGAATGGTAGCCTAGAATTTCAGTCTCCATGGTAGTCTTGGAGTTCATATTAAGTGTGAGGCGCTTTGCACACACTATCATCCAACAGAACAAATTTCTGTTGCCCAAAGATTATATTTTCCCTTAAAAATGTGCAGTAAGAATTTTTCAAAACTGCAGAAAAGACTAGATTTTAACCTTATGGAACTAAAATAGGAAAACATTATAGCCTCACCATATTAAAGGCTAACACCTATTTAATACATGGTCATCTTAAACAAATATGAGTATGAGCTTCCAAAGTCAAAGCTTCCAGCCCAGAAGCCTTGCTTCTTCAGTATAAAGAATAGGGAGGGCTGGTTCCTGGAGATTAACTGAGAGGGAAGAGGCTTTACAAAATTTCATGAGGCCCTTAATTTCGACTGGTGCTGTTCTGCAAATGTTCAACCTATTTCTAAGGAAAAACATAACATTGATATTAAAACTGCCTTAATCAAGGTAACGAAATTCCTGGTGTTCTGTAAGCTTGCCACAGATTTGATAACCCAGGGAAGAATTACAAGCAATTACAAAATGATAGCTCCAATTAGGAAAACTGGATCTATTCCAAAATCAAATCTAAGGACGCTCAGAAAATCCCAATGGAACAATTTCAATGAATAGTACAAGGGACCACGTTTATTCTAGTGGCAAAGACACAGGTAAATTCTACTACTCCCATTCTTCTGGAGGCTATGCAACCTGCTGCAACGATGTTTATCTCTTGCCCTTTAGGAAACTGAAATACCAAACCTCGTTAATAAACCTGAAAAACTCACGCACTCTGAAATGCAGACACTAATACAGCACCCAACACGCACCACACAGTCTTTGCCTTGTCCTTGGCTGATTTTGAAACCTCTGCCTAGACCTACACGGCCAAGTGGTCGAGAGGAAGCAAAGAGAAAGAGAAACTTCGAAAGCAGAAACCTCTCTCCCAGAGCCTAGAACAGAATGTACCTTGTAGAGATTTTACAGTTTGGGTGCTGGAAAGGTCACACCCTGCAGTTTTGAAAACCCACCTTCTAAGGCTCACCCCCAGGATACAATCTTCCTCTGGCTTCTCCAGGTCCTTCTGCCCTGGTGCTGAAATCCCCCTCTCTCCCCACCCTGATTCTCCAAACCTCCTCCACCCTCTCCAAGAAGAGACCCACAGCGGGCCCTCCCCCAGCCTCTGCATTCTCTCCGCACCCCATCCCTAGTCCTCCAACCACACCCCCCAGCATCCCCAAGGAGCAAACCCAGTCCAGTGCTCTCACCTACACTCTCTTGCATCCCTCACTGCTGCCACTCTCTTTGAAAGCACCAGGGCAGAGCCCTTCTTTCCCCTTTGCCAATCCCATCCATCCTTTAAAGGAGAAAACCAAGGGGGAACCCCCCTTCCGTCTTCCCCGATTCCCTCCAAACCCGCTAGCTATTGCTTTTCGAAAAACCAAAGAGGTGCCCCCACCTCGCCCCACCCCCACGGCCCGCCATGGTTGATGAGAAGACCAAGGGACACCCTCCTCTCCCTTCCCACTCCCCACCATCCCCGCAGAAGACAGGGAGAGCGCCCCTTTTACTCCCACCGCCCTCCACAATCTCCCTCCCCAAGCTTGCCCAGGGTGAAAGCCCAAGGGAGGCCAGACACCCACCCTAGGGTACCTATCAATCCCGGTTCGACACCCGGCAGCCCGTGACGTCCCCAGCCCCCTCCCCAGCGAGGCCGCAGAAGCCAGAGGCCGCAGGTAGCCAGCCCGGGAAGGCCGGGCAGCCGGGTCGGTGGGGCTGGAGGGCAACGGCTCCCTCGGGACGCTGGCTGCCGGGCTGGCGGGCGGGCGGCACACACGCACGCACTTGGGGAGAGGCGCGGGCTGACTACCTGGGGATGCTCGTCCGCGCAGCTGTCTCGGCGTTGGCGGCCGCTGCCTGCACCGAGGCCGAGGCGCGGCGGCGGCGCGGCTGCGGACTGAGCCCCCTCGGCCGGGCGTTGGATGTAGGGCGCGGGAGGGGCGCGAGGGGAGGGGCGCGCGCGGGGTAGAAGGGGAGGGAGGGAACGCGCGCGCGGGGGCGGGGGCGGGCGCGGCCGGGGCGGGGCGGGGCTGGGCGCGCGCCAGCCGGGGTTCTGCCCGCGGCGCGGGGGGTTGTGTTGCGGGGAGCGCGCGCGCGGGAGCCAGGCTGCTGGGCACAGGGTGGGGGCGGCTCACCACGCACCCGGCGCGTCCACGTGCCCCCGCCTCGGAAGAAGCCCGGCTGCCTGCAAGGCGCGGGCTCGCGGGGAAGGTGGCTGAGGAGAGGAGGTGACAGAACCGGCAGGGCTCTGAAGGCGGGGAGGAGGGCAGCTGGGGGTGCCTAGGCACCCCCTTCCCTACCCTGGGCTGCAGGCTGCCGAGGGCGTCGGGGAGTCACGAGTCACTGCAGGCAACCGCGGCCAGGGCAGGGGAGGTGGGAGCAACAAAGACAGTGGAGCTAAGGATGGCGTGTCGCCTCACGGAAGGGCTCGCTAACCTGCGCACTCCCTGAGAAGCAGCGTTGAGTCCGGAGCGCCCTTCGTCTCGGCCGGCAACTGCAAAACCCCGTGGTTTTGAAGACCCCTCCCCTTAGTAACAAGCCTCAGGAAGCTGAAAGAGCGCGGTCCAGAAGCTCCTGAAGGCTTTACATCACTGGAAAGAGCTGATGGCAGAGCGGCGGGTGGCGATTCATTCATTCAGTTTACTGAGCTCTCGCCATGTGCCAAGCCCTGTGCCAGGCGCTGGATGTACAGCGAAGTCGCGTCGATATCCCTCTGCCTTGGGAGCTTCCAACCTGGGGCGGGGGTTGGGGGGGAGACGCTAAAGAAGTGAGAAAAAGCTAATTTAGTCTGCGCAGCAAAAAAGGGGCTGCAGATACTGTGGTTAAGAAAGGCAGGAAATAGTATTTAAGGTGAGCCCCAAGACATATGAAAGAAGCAACCATATAAAGGGCCGAGGAGAAGCTTTCCAGAAAGAGGAAACAGACTAAGAAAGCCACAAGGAGGGGGCAAATCTTGATGTCTTGGAATTAAACAGTGATTATTGTGTTTGGTGTCAGGAGAGATAGGCAGAGTTGCAGTATAAGGCTGGGCAGGTGGGCAGAGACCAGATCTTGGACTGTGTCCTAATGCGTTGATTTCCCCAGTTTTATTTGTACACTTGGCCTGCCATATCCATGGACTCAACCATCCTCACATGGAAAAAAAATGCATCTGTTCTGAATTTATCATTATTCCCCGAACAATATGGTATAACAACTATTTTCAATGCAGCACTACCTTCATGTTATATAAAGTATTTAAGCAACCAAGTATTTGGGGATCTTCAGAAGTCAGGTCCCTGCCTAGGCAACTGGAATGAGAGCTGGATTGGCCCTCAGTATGAAAAAAGATATTCTCTGATGTGAGGAGGACCGTGGAGGTAGATGATGATGGGGAGCAGTGGTGGGCAAAAGCAATTAGAATCTGATGACTCCTATTTTCCCATGGTGCATAAACTGAGCCAAGGCATAAGCCCTTGCAAAGGAGCCCCGACCTTCTCTTTTCACATTCGGAGCCATCAGAAGCACAGAAGTTAGGTCTCCCTAGAAGGCAGTAGAGGTCCCCACTATGCAGTGCCTAGGAAAAGAGGAAGCCAGTCTGCCCTCAACTGCAAATGTCCGAATCCGCTGAACAACCAACTCTGCTGCAAGCATCTCCTTGAGTACCAGCCCTGTGTATAGTCCCAAAGAAGTAGTCAACAGGCACCCAAGATGGAAGACTGGGAAAAGGTCCTTCTTTCAGGGAACCTTCTGGCACTCAGTGAGTGTTGCTTGTTGTTCACTCTTTCCTAGACCCCTTCCTACCTCCCCATTCCTTTGTTCTTCCTTGTTCTTCTGTACCCCCACCCTCCACTCCACTCCTTCCTGTCTGCCAGCCTCCCCTACTTCCTTCCTCCCTTCCGCAGACATCCCTAAGGCTCCTAGTGTGTACAAGACATGCTGCCCCATTTGTCACATTGCCCTGGCTTGGTCTGCACCCAAGACCAGCCCTATCTGCCCCTTAACACTTCATGTCCTTCGATTTTGACTCAACTTTTGTGAGTCAAGGGAACACTTCCAGTTAAAGCATGCAAAATATTGTGGGTTTGTGTTGCTGGATAAGCAAAATAGATAAAAGAGAGTGCCTAAATTATAAAGTTTTCTACATTTTGACGATATTTTCAGCATTGAAAAGCAAAAAGAAATTAAAAAGACTAAAATTATGCTGTATATTCAGATCTGATCTTCCTTTCTGTTTAGATAAATAAGCATGAGAAAAGTCTTCAACAGAATTTAAAACATCTTTAGGACAAAATATGGAGCACTTATCAGTACATAAAGTAATCTAGTCCTTTGCCTTCTCTTCAAAAAGTACCTTTCGGACTAATGATTCTAAGTTATTGAAAATAACTGTGATACATGTCACTCACTCTCACATTAAAAACTCTTATGCCCTACTTTACAGATGAGGAGATGGAGGCTCAAAGTTAAGCAACTTTGGAGCCAGGATGGAAAATCAAGCAGTGTTAACTGCAGAGCCCACAATACAAACCTGTACTTGTATTTCCAAAATAGCAAGAAAGCATGTTCGTCATTTTTGCTACAGTCATCCAAAATAGCTACTTCTTTCAGGGAAGTTATTTTTTTTTCTAAAGTAGTTCTGAGTCCTCCATATGACTTTTTCCTGTCCATGCAACGCACAGGAAAGCTGTTCCCTAAGTGTGCTCCCTTCTACAAGGGACTTTGATTCTACATACGCTTGGTCTACTTCATGATCATCATGAGTCATGGCATTGATGGAGTTCTATCCAATTCCCAGCAAGCACATCTACCTTGCAGGCCAGCCTTACCTCTTACTTCTTCCCACTCAGACCCTATGGGCTGTCAGTCTGGGATCTAGAAGAATCTTAATGCACGCCCTATACATTCTTCCCATGAAACCTTTGTCGCTGGGATTCCTTCTGCCTAGCACACAGTTTCAAGGGCTCCCTGGACATTTCTACATTTCACAGGAAGCTCAACCTCAGTAGATCCAAAGCCAAATACTCCCATTCCAACCTATATATCTGCTTGTATTCTCTGTCTCCATTAATGGTATATCACCCACCCCACCCCCCCGCCGCCAGGTACCAAAGCCAAAACTTCTATTACTTTTGAAGTTTTCCTTGTGTCCAATAAGTCACTGTGTCCTGTAAATTCTACTTCTGAAACAACAAAACCTCTACTCCTCTTCTAAGTTGGCCCTGACCAATTCAGGCAGAATTGTTACGCCCATGGCATTTAGTCCATACTGCTAACACAGCAGGTTATCTTGATATACTTGGTGATTTCATGTATTTATTTCTCCTACCAGGTCACAGGCTCCTTGACAGCAGGCAGTGTATCCTTCCTGTTTACATTTCCAGTTTCTGGGAATGTGGTAGGCGTTAAATGAATAGTTGTTCACAAGTATGTTCCATTTTGGGAAAACATAAACATATACATAATGAAAAAACAGTATAGCTAATTTCCATATATCCAACACTGAGCTTCAACAATTAGCCATGATAGATTATGTTTCATTTATAGTCTCCCAACTTATTCCATCCAATGCACACATACACAGTACTATTTTAAATCAAATGCAAGATGGTGTATCATTCCATCAAGAAGCATTTTGGTATATTGCTAAAAGATCAAGTTTTTTTTTTTTTTTAACATAAGGACAACATCATTAGCACACCTAATAGTAGTTAACTAAAATTCCTTAATCCCAACAAACATCCAGTCAGGTTTTTAAATTCCCCAGATGTCTCCCACAAGTTATTCTACAGTTCATTTATTCCAGCCAGAATACCTTTAAAGGCTCATTTATTAGATTTGGTTAATAAGTGTAATTAATGGTTCTTGGATGAATGAATAGATGGATAAATGAATTCTTCCTATTTTACAGATAAGGAGACAGGGATCAATAAAAGAGCTGGAGGAAATACATCACCACACCCTTATCCTGGAGTTGCTGCTAAACCTCCACCTCTGGCTGGCAACACTAAATCACTATTGTAGCCAAGCTGCCGCCCAGAACCAATGCTGCTGAAAATATCCAACATGGCTGCTCACCATATCCCCTTGATGACCGATTGTTTATTATAACATCATTATAATAAAATTACCATGGCTGACACCCATTCCTATCATGCACCTGACACCATGATACTTCTGAGACTTCCGAAAAAGACCACAACATGGGCAGTCACCAAATTCCTGGAAATCTCCACCCTTTTCTGGAAAATTGCACCCAAAACACTACCCCCTATGCTCCAGATCATATAAAGGGATAACCCCAAACCTCATAAGTTTTTGCTTGCTCTAGAGCAACCCCACACTATCTCTTTTTTAGAAAAAAGGGGTTGTTTTAAATTTATTTTAAAGTCAGAGTTACAGAGAGAAGGGGAGAGACAGAAAGAGAGATCTTCCATCTGCAATGTTTCACTCCCCAGATGGGCCAGGCCAAAGCCAAGAGCCAGGAAATTCTTCCCAGGTCTCCCACGTGGATGGCAGGGACCCAAGTACTTGGGTCATCTTCCACTGCTTTTCCCAGACAATTAGCAGGGAGATGGACTGGAAGTGGAGCCGGTGGGACACAAACCAGCGTGGCACATTTATCCACTATGACAGAAAGCCAGTCCCCACAGTGTCTTCTGAGTGTGTACTTTCACTTTGCTAATAAATTTTATTCCTCTGCTAACCTTTTTCTATAGCTTATCCTTGGATTCTTTTGTGTATCAGAGACAAGAACCAGGACCTTTGGCCCTCCAACACCTGCTTTCTCTCACCCACTTCTTCCATAGTCCAAATTCCACCCATTTCACAAAGACCCATCTATCTGATGCCGGAACTCATTCAAGCTCTTCTCTGATAGCCTAGCTGTTGAAAGTGGCGGCTCTCCTTTTTTTTTTTTTTTTTTTTTTGACAGGCAGAGTGGACAGTGAGAGAGAGAGAGACAGAGAGAAAGGTCTTCC